TACAGCCCATTCATTTAAAAAAAACCTCTCCTTAATGGGATTTATTGATAAATAAGTGGAACCTCAATTCTCACTTGTAACCAGTGTGCAGAACCACACACTGGAAAACTAGGTGTTGCTTCTATGAAATAGGGTTCAGAAAAGCTAGATGCGAGGCAAAGCAAGCCCTGACCTGGATAGCCCAGGCTAGCTGGATCTTGACATACCTTGGAAGCTAATCAGGGTTGACCCTGGCTGGTATTTGGATGGGAGACCGCAAGTCAGGCAATGACAAACCAACTCTGAACTCTCTTGCCTTGAAACCCCCCAGGGGGTCGCCATATGTCAGCGGTGACTTGACAGCACTTCCCACCACCACCAGGGCAAGGGAAATCAAAGGGACCCTCGGTGGAGAGTGGCCCCTGGCTTCTGGAAGATCTCCTCAAGAAGGTCCATATTGCGAGAACCTAAGATAATGGTTTCCCAGGTGTGTCAGGATATGAACAATGTTCTTTGCAGTTATGATGCAGCTCTTATTGAAAAGCCACACTATATTTTAATATTAAATGAGGAAAGTTCCTTGAAATACAGAACAGGTGGCAAGCCTAGGAATAGCAGACGCTGTACAAGGCCGAAGGATTGGAAATATTATTCCAGCTCAGTGTGTGTATATATAATTATATATAATTCTCTCTCTCTCTCTCCACAATTTTTATTGTATGCCAGTATAGCGCATTCCTCCCTTCCCCGCCTTCGGCTCAACTTTTAAGAGATCGAGGCGAGCAGGAAGCACTTCCTCCGCGCTCCTCCCCCTCTCCATTGATCAACTTGTACCTTGGAGACAGCCTTGGCCAGCCTTTCCCACCCCCACCCCCCACAGCCGCCAGCTTCCCTCCTCTGTTTCTCCGCTTGTCCCTCGCTCTCCCCTCCCCCGCTCGCCACTGCCTTGTGACACGCACATTGTGGGAGTGTGTGTGTGTGTAGGGGGCTCTTCGCTTGCCAGCTTCTGCCTGCGCCCTGCTGCAGTAGTCATGGCTGCGGATGGGGTAGATGAACGCTCCCCTCTGCTGTCAGCCCCCGGCTCGGGCAATGTCACGCCTACAGCACCGCCGTATTTTCCAGAAAGCAGCCCTAGAGGGAAGGGGAGGCCCCCCCCCCCCCCGGGTCCCCTATATGCCTCTCCCCAGAGACGCTCATTTTCGCTGGTCTCGTCTCTTGGCTGCCGTTTCTAACTTAGGCTGGGAGAAGGAGGACGGATTGTGGGGAGAGGGGTGCATTGTTGGTGCCTTGTCGGTAGCCGCTTTAGAGGATTTTATGCCATTGCAGCGGTTTTCCCGGCGTCTTAGAAAGAGGAGAAAGTGTTTGTGTGGGTGGGGGACTTTACAGTGTGTGTCTCTCCCCCCCCC